CCTTTGCTTTTAGAAGATGTAACTTTCCCCTTCTCCTCCTCTTTCGTTTCCCCAGGAGAAGGTGCTCTTGAACATTCCTGTACCATCCTGAACTCTCAGTTGTCAGAACATCTCTTCTGGTTGGCATGGCAATGCTAGGCGGAGTGTGAGTGTGTGACGTATGATTGCGGGATGGACGGGCCCTGCTTGAATTTACTATAATAAGTCTGTACTTGCCGAAATACTTTAGTTCTAACACGGTGACTTTCTGGATCTTGCATATAACTCAATAAACTTCCACTGCCGAAAGAGAGTTGTTGAGTGTAACTAGACTGGGGGTCTGACGATCTGTCAGGTTAGATGGCAAAATGCTCCCGGAGGCTGGGGGGGGGGGCGTGGTGATGCGACTGCCTCTAGAACAAGATGAGAGTAACCGGAAGTAAAACAATTCTGTTGGAAAACGCTGAATGGTAGTCCGAGGAATGAACAAAGCCTGTGTGAAACATGAAGGTAGCTAATGGCTGCTTGATGACCTTCTGTTGTTGGAAGCTACTGGGGATGGCTGAAAGGTGTGAAGTGGTATCATTACTATGGCAAACAGGTCATTAAAGGTCAAGCCTGGTAGGGAAATGCTTACTCTAAGTTTAAACAATGTCTTTCCCGGAAGACCCTTTCCTGCCACTGTGATATTGCCCGTTTAGGGAGGGCGGTGTGTGTGTGTGTATCTATCTATCTAATCTATCTATCTATCTTATCTATCTATCTATCTATCTAATCTATCTCTATATGTCGGGAGGGCACTCTCAACCTCCTCCCGACTATGCAGGAAGTTACCCCCATTGTTCAAGGGAGAACAGGGCAAGCAGACCCCAACCGTTCCCCGGAGGTTCGGGAGTATTGGCCTATAAACCCCAAAGGGGAGATGGGGCCTCAAAAGGGGGACGGCGGGGACGCGGGGGTGATTGGGCTTGGCGACAATATTGTGACAGATGGAGAGAGGGGTGGGAAATCAAGATGTTCTGAGAGTCTGGAGAAGAAACCAGTCTGTTGGTGGAGTCACTTTAAGAGTTCGGTGGTGGGGTTCACGCTGTGATGTAAATGAAGCAAATAAAATGGCCATCAGGTGTACCCAGGGAGGAGGAGAGTGTGGAAGCTGCGAGAGAGACGGAGAGGAGTGAAGTAACTCGTGCTCGTCTAGCAGTACACATGGCTGAAAGAGAGTCTGCGTAAATTCTCAAACGGCAACTCTGAGGGGCAACTCTGAGCTTCTCGAATATCACGCTGGAGCTAACCCACGACCCAAACGCCCCCACAAGGCAGCCGGAGGCTGACACTATCTATCTCTCTCTCTCTCTCTCTCTCTCTCTCTCTCTCTCTCTCTCTCTCTCTCTCTATATATATATATAATAAAATAAATAAGGTGAGAACGGGGTCATTAGCAGTCAAATCCATAACTTCACCTTCAGAATCTCATCTCAGACTTGCTACCATCCATTTTACGTGACACCATAGCCACTTTGGCTGTATTTTCAGACCAGGTAGTGCCCAAATAATGTGATTTTGGGGTGCTTTTAAAGTGAAGGGTGCTTGGACCTATGACTGTCTGGGTGCCAAGATGTCCCTTCAGCGAGAAGAGGGGTTTCGGTACCAGTGTCCCCTCTAAACTGAGTTAGTGTGAGCTGGCTCACAGTTTTTTAACCTCCGGGTCACACAGTTTTTGTCTTAACCCAGGAAGGATGGCGCCAGAGCAAACTAATTCATGCAGTATCCAAACTGCTCACAACTTTAATGCCAGTAGCTCACAAAGTAGTACTTCAAAGGCTCATTATCTTCACAATATGACAATCCTTCTTCATCGCAGAGTCTTTATGTTGGCTAGGTTTAATTTATTTCCTTCTGCTGTTTTGACAGGGAGATACAAGGGTACTTCTTATAAGGACAGAGTTTGCACCTGCTTCGATTATGAACCTGACTCAATGCAACATATCCTTCTTCGTTGTACCCATTACTACGCCATCATCTGATATGCCCTCTCTTGCCTGCTGCAAAGATTGTTGGCAATGAGTCTAACTTCTTGCTTTCTGATAAATCCCCTGAAATAACTGAAATGTTTGGCCGAGTTCCTCTCACTTGTATGGAAGCAAAGGGCAAGAGTTTTTAGCACATAGTTTTTAACGTACAGTTTTACTCTGGGATATGCTATTCTGAACTGATTGGTTTTGACCTTTCCTCCTTTAATATTATTTTATGCCAATAAAGGTCTATGATGATGAAGTAGAATTTTTGCTCACAAGACTCCGCAGCTTAAACGGAGCATTACAGGTGACCCCAATAACAAAATCACTCTACCAGCTGTCTCAGCATGGGGTGTGCCCACCTGGACCCATCTACCCCTGGAAACGAGCAGGGTGAAGTTGTTCACCTCTGTGCTTCCACTTTCTCCACCATACCCTGTGGGACCCCGCTGGCAAACAGCCCATGAAGTGCCTCTCCGAAGAGAGGGGCCTTGCCCTATTGCCAGGCCTGTGATCTCCTGACTTCCCATCTACAACCTGGCTTCCCGTGCCACTTGTCGCAGCCTTCTGGGGCTCTGGTCACTTCCTCCTGCTCTTCCCTGCCTGCTGCCCCCTGAAGCGGCCTCTGATCACTGCAGTCCACCCTTGGTTCTTCTGGGGCCTCAGCCATCACCTGCTCAACCTGGCCCCATTGGGCCCTCTGGGACAATGGCTGCCACTACGGTACGGGAGGCTGATGGCCAATGGCTTGTCAGTGACCTTGGTGCGGGGTGTGTGTGTTCCTCGCTCATTGGGATTGCATATCCATGCCATAGCAGACTCTCTTGGGGTGGCTCCCAAGTGTGGGTCTGGCAGTGCTGGACATGGACATTGAGAACTCAAAGGGTTTTCCTATGTGGGTCCTCTGATGCTGATAAAGATTGCCATTCTGACTGAATCTCTCTCCACACTCTGAGCATTCAAAAGATTTCTCCACTATGTGGGTTCAATAATGCAGTTGAAGACTGCCACTGTGATGGAATCTCTTTCAACACTTGGAGAATTCAAAAGGTTTCTCCCCTGTGTGGGTTCTCTGATGCTGTTGAAGACTGCCACTCTGACTGAATCTCTCTCCACACTCTGAGCATTCAAAAAGTTTTTCCGCTGTGTGGGTTCTTTGATGCAGGTGAAGACTGCCACTGTTACTGAATCTCTTTCCACACTCCGAGCATTCAAAAGGTTTCTCCCCTGTGTCGGTTCTACGATGCAGTTGGAGACTGCCACCCTCACTTAATCTCTTTCCACACTCTGAGCATTCAAAAGATTTCTCCCGTGTATGGGTTCTCTGATGCAGTTTAAGAACGCCACTCGCCACTTTGGTGCTTCGGAAGACTAGCATTCTCTCTAAACCTTTTTCCACACTTTGAGCATTAAAAAGGTTTTTCCCCGTGTAGGTCCTCTGATGCAGCTGAAGACTGCCGGTGTGACTGAATCTCTTTCAGCACTGTGAGCATTCAAAAGGTTTATCCCGTGTGGGTTTTCTGATGCTGTCGAAGACTGCTACTCGAAATGAATCTCTTTCCACACTCTGAGCATTCAAAAGGTTTCTCCCCTGTGTGGGTTCTCTGATGCTCTTGAAGACTGCCACTTCGGCTGAATCGCTTTCCACACTCTGAGCATTCAAAAGGTTTCTCCCCTGTGTGGGTTCTTTGGTGCTTTTGAAGAGTGCCACTCTCACTGAATCTCTTTCCACACTTTGAGCATTCAAAAGGTTTCTCCCCTGTGTGGGTTCTCTGATGCACTTGAAGATGGCCACTGTGACTGAATGTCTTTCCACACTCTGAGCATTTAAACGGTTTCTCCCCTGTGTGGGTTCTCTGATGCTGTTGAAGATGGCCACTCTGACTGAATCTCTTTCCACACTCTGAGCATTCAAAAGGTTTCTCCCCTGTGTGGGTTCTCTGATGCTGTTGAAGATTGCCAATGTAGCTGAAACTCTTTCCACACTCTGAGCATTCAAAAGGTTTCTCCCCTGTGTGGGTTCTTTGATGCTTCTGAAGACTACTATTGTCTCTCAATCTCTTTCCACACTCTGAGCATTCAAAAGGTTTCTCCCCTATGTGGGTTCTCTGATGCAGTTTAAGAATGCCACTCCGACTGAATCTCTTTCCGCACTCTAAGCATTCAAACGGTTTTTCCCCTGTGTGGGATCTTTGGTGCTTCTGAAGACTACCATTGTCTCTGAATCTCTTTCTGCACTCTGAGCATTCAAAAGGTTTCTCTCTTTTATGGGTTCTCTGATGCACTTGAAGATGGCCACTGTGACTGAATGTTTTTCCACACTCTGAGCATTCAAAAGGTTTCTCCCCTGTGTGTGTTCTCTGATGCAGTTTAAGACTACCATTTCGGCTGAATCTCTTTCCACACTCTGAGCATTCAAAAGGTTTCTCTCCTGTATGGGTTCTCTGATGTACTTGAAGATAGCCACTGTGACTGAATGTTTTTCCACACTCTAAGCATTCAAAAGGTTTCTCTCCTGTATGGGTTCTCTGATGTACTTGAAGATAGCCACTGTGACTGAATGTTTTTCCACACTCTAAGCATTCAAAAGGTTTCTCTCCTGTATGGGTTCTCTGATGTACTTGAAGATAGCCACTGTGACTGAATGTTTTTCCACACTCTAAGCATTCAAAAGGTTTCTCCCCTGTGTGGATTCTTTGATGCAGCTGAAGATTGCCACTTTGGCTGAATCTCCTTCCACACTCCGAGCATTCAAAAGGTTTCTCCCCTGTGTGGGTTCTCCGATGCTGTTGAAGATAGCCACTTTGGCTGAAACTCTTTCCGCACTCTAAACATTCAAAAGGTTTCTCCCCTGTGTGGGTTCTTTGATGCAGGTGAAGACTGCCACTGTGACTGAATCTCTTTCCACACTCCGAGCATTCAAAAGGTTTCTCCCCTGTGTGGGTTCTCTGATGCACTTGAAGATTACCACTCTGACTGAATCTCTTTCCACACTCGGAGCATTCAAATGGTTTCTCCCCTGTGTGCCATCTTTGGTGCTTCTGAAGACTACCATTGTCTCTGAATCTCTTTCTGCACTCTGAGCATTCAAAAGGTTTCTCTCTTTTATGGGTTCTCTGATGCACTTGAAGATGGCCACTGTGACTGAATGTTTTTCCACACTCTGAGCATTCAAGCGGTTTCTCCCTTGTGTGAGTTCTTTGATGCAGGTGAAGACTGCGACTGTGACTGAATCTCTTTCCACACTTCAAACATTCAAAAGGTTTCTCCCCTGTGTGGGTTCTTTGATGCAGGTGGAGGCTGCCACTGTGACTGAATCGCTTTCCACACTCTGAGAATTCAATGGGTTTCTCCCCTGTGTGGGTTCTTTGATGCAGGTGAAGACTGCCACTGTGACTGAATCTCTTTCCGCACTCTAAGCATTCAAAAGGTTTCTCCCCTGTGTGGGTTCTCTGATGCAGCTTAAGAACGCCACTCCGACTGAATCTCTTTCCGCACTCTAAGCATTCAAAAGGTTTCTCCCCTGTGTGGGTTCTTTGATGCAGGTGAAGTCTGCCATTGTGACTGAATGTCTTTCCACACTCTGAGCATTCAAAAGGTTTCTTCCCTGTATGGGATCTTTGGTGCTTCTGAAGACTGCCATTCCAACTGAATCTCTTTCTGCACTCTGAGCATTCCAAAGTTTTCTCCCCCTTGTGGGTTCTCTGATGCTGTTGAAGATTATCCCTCCGACTGAATCTCTTTCCACACACTGAGCATGCAAAAGGTTCCTTCCCCACATGTGTTCTTCGATGCAGTTGCAGACTGCCACTCTTAATGAATCTCATTCTGCATGCTAAACATTTGAAATATTTCTTCCCAGTGTGGGTTCTCAGATGCTTTTGAAGATTCTCACTCACACTGCATCTCTTTCTACACACTGAGCATTCAAAAGCTTTCTGGACTCTGTGTATTCTTTGGTGTATGAAGAGCTGTAATCTGGTTCTGAAGTACTTTTCACAGCAGATGGGTTTACTTGCCTTCATTATCCTGTGCTTTGGAATGTGTACATTACGCTGTCTTCCATCTCTCTTTTCAACCATATGACCGACTTTCTTTCTTATTGGTCCACCTTGATTCCTGATGTTTTCTTTCAAGTTTTCATTTTTACCTTCATTTGGCATTTGTTGATGAAGTTCCTCAATCAGATCATCCTCTGCTGGAAAAAAATAGAGATCCTGTTAGCACTTGGGAGGGTTGGTAAAGTCAAAGGCATCTATGTGACTGCAGTAGATAAGGATTGATGGCCTTTGGCCAACTTGGCCAATCTTAACCACCCCTCCAACTTTCCCCAGAATATCCAGTATTCAAGGATTCCTCACCCCCTCGAGTGCCACAGCTGAGCTCTTGCCCAGAAGGACCTTCTGGCCCTCCCTCCTTCCCCAGTGGGCTGTATGACTGTATGAAATGTTCCTCAGAAGTGAATCAGAAATCCCCCATGGCACTTCCTTGCCCTTTCTCTTGACATAATCATGAAGGATACTCACTCTTAGCCGGCTCATATGGGGAGGAAATATGGTCTTGGGATACTCTTGAGGAAATCTTCACCCTTTCTTTAGATGCAAGGCCGTTGTCTATCTCCACCGTCGTCTCAGTGATACTCCTGCCTTCGTTCGCAGAGAGAAAGAGAAAGTGATAATTCTTATATGGCGAAGGAAAGAAATTCAAGAGTAAAAATTCTTCTGGAAGGACAGAACCATGGTCAAGATCAAAGCCCACAATCCCAACCAGTATAAGGGGACTGGACCTGTGAAGCAAAGCCCCCTGGTTCCCTCAAGGGTTTATGTGATTATTAAGTGGCCTGGTCTGACTTTGTGATTTGTGATTCATGTCTCCCCATAGCTAACTTTCTTGTATTTTTCAAGGCCATTGGTTAATCGTGAGAACCTGTATCCAGTTGTGTAGACAGGAGGGCAGGGGGATTAGGAGGGTGCTGACATCTTCTGGAAAATTCCATCATGGAGGACCCTTGATTGGGTCCTTAGGACCACCTGACCCTAAGAGGTAGAAAGTATAACACACATATAGACAAGAGGGAAACCAGGCTAACTTTATGCTCATGTCATGCTAGTATGTCTTCATATGGACATACTTGGAAATGCTGGGGACTGAACCTGGGACTTTCTGCATACCAAACAGATGCTCTGCCAGGGAGCCACAGGGCCCACTCCAAGTACTGGGACAGGCCTCAAAACTGAATAGCTGTTCAATATTTTGATTCATGCCTCCTCACAATGGCAGCTATTCACAGCGAGGAAAGATCCTTACCCAGAAAGGCCACATTCTCGTAGTTCTCCAGCATGACTTCCCTGTACAGAGCTCTTTGTCCTGGATCCAGCAGGGCCCATTCCGCCTCAGTGAAATCGATGGACACCTCCTCAAAGGAAAAGGGACCCTGAAAGGAAAAAGCAGATTCCCTTGTCAGAGATCACACCAGGCAGAGACGGCACCCTGGAAGGGAGTAGACTGGGAAGGTATGGGATGCATGGCTTGGGCTGGGTAAAGGGAACAGCGGTCAGAGGATCTCTCACCCAGACGCCTCGTAGAAACTGCAGGAGCAAAAGCTCCCTTGAGAAAGGCAGAAGGACCCGGGCTGTCCCCCCTGCTCATCTCATTGTGGCAGAAAAATCAGCGAGCCTGGGGCATTTCTGAACAGCCTGGATTAGCTGAGGTCTCTCTGTTCGGTTCCTCTCCCATAAGACTTTGCAGGCTTAGCTACTGTCATCTCTCAAGCCTCTCTCTAGCCTGACCAGGCACTCTGCTTCAAAAAGAATAGTTTTCATTTCTCTAGGTCTACCATTTTACCCTCATACTCTCTCAAAGACTCCTAGTGAGGTTTGTACTTTGTAGTTTCTGACCAGCAAAATACATACATACCTTCCAATAAGGTCACAATCAAGTTTACACATAACATCCTTGACTGTCTAGGGCAGTGGTGGCGAACCTATGGCACGGGTGCCAGAGGTGGCACTCAGAGCCCTCTCTGTGGGCACGCGTGCCATCGCCCCAGCCAGGCCCAGACCATCATTAAAATGTTGAATTCTCTGCCAAATAATTGTAGGTAAATGAAAGCATTTGGGATTGCTTTCCTTACTTTGTTTGGAACATCTTAAGTTAACGTATGAGTTGTTTTTTCTAAAGTAAAACCTCAGTATTCAGGTTAAATGGCCGTGTTGGCACTTTGCGATAAATAAGTGGGTTTTGGGTCACAGTTTGGGCACTCGGTCTCTAAAAGGTTTGCCATCACTGGTCTAGGGTAACTTGGGTATGAGTTCAAGGTGAATATTGTTCTCTTTAATTTGATATTCTTCTGGTAATAGTGTGTTACTCCAGTTGGGCTGAACCTATGAGTATTGAGGGTATAAATTGTTGAAGAGTTCATTGCTGTGGGCTGGTCTCCAATCAGCTCTCTGTGAGCTCTTGTTGACTAGACCAGGGCGCTCCATATTTCACACTAGCCTGGTTTTGTTTGAGAACTCTGGTCTCTCTCTATTGATTCAGTCACTCCTTTGCCAGTCTCCACCCAACCAATAAGAGAACTAAAGGGGAATGGGAGGGTCCCTGGGAAACAGTCCGGGGGTCCCAGAATGTCCTACCTGGACCGGAGGTGCAGCAGCCGTTTCCACACCTCTGAAAAGATGACGGCTCAACAGCATCTCTTCACTGCCTGTTCCTGAGACAAAGGAGGAAGGAAGGGTGTTGGCTTGTTTGTTCCCTGCTTCACACCACCCCCTTCCCAGGGCTGGGAAACACTCAACACAGTTTTACAAACTTTTAACTAAATTCTGGGAGAGGCAGAAGAGAAGCACATGGTAGCCATGAGCCTCAGGGATTATAAATGCGACCGATATATTTCAGACTTCTTTGAGACCTGTGTTTGCTCTGCGGGGAGGGAAGATGTTGCATGGCCATCCCTTCCCCAGCATCCTGTTTCCCACAGCGGCCTGCCAGAGGCCCCTTGAAGCGGAGGCACAGAAGCCAGATTTCCCCAACATTATCGGCCCCAAGGTACTGGTTTTCAGAGCTCCGCTGTCCCAGAAGGTGGAGGCTCCCTTTATCCACCAGTCTGCATATTTCTGATGAGGTCTGTCTACCTTCCCTCCCCCCGCCCCCGGAAACTTGATTTCTTTTTATGGAAGGAAGGTGAGATATGAATTTTTAATTTATGGGAGAAATTGCCCTCCAGGAATCTGTCTAATCTCCTTTTGGAGGCATCAGAATTAGTGGACACTGAGTGCCACAAATTAACTCTTTATTGTGTGTAGAACGATTTGTTTTTATCCTGATCTGAACTCTCTACCCGTCACATTCACGGGGTGCCCCAACTGCATCCAGGCACAAAGGGTCCTTACCAAAGGAGAGGGGGTATTGGGCACGCTCCGTGGCCTGCACCCTCTGCCCTTGCTCCAAGGAAGCTCCTTCCACTTCAGGGATTGTAGCTTCCATCTTCACGGATGCTGCCCACACCTGAAACAGCAGTGAGGGAGAGGGGAAAGAGATGGAATGGAAAAGAGACCAAGAAATGGATCCTGCCCCACTCCCAGACTCTGCACCCCCTTCCATCAGCAGACCTGCTGAGTTATCTGGAGGAATCAGAAATTCTCTTGTAGAAGAGGCTGCTGAAGGAGGTCATGAAATCTCCCACTTGGATGCTTAGAAGTTAGGCAATTATCCATCAGGAAAACTTTAGGATAAAACTTAATATTGTTATGTTGTCGAAGGATCTCATGACCGGAGTTCATTAGGTGTTGTGGATTTTTCGGGCTGTATGGCTGTGGTCTTGGTATTGCAGGACCTGACGTTTTGCCAGCAGCTCTGAGTGGTATCCTCAGAGGTATACTGGGCCATCCAGGTCAGGACAGAGACAAAGAGAGGTGGTTGGCTGTTGCCTGCCTCTGGGCAGGGCCGGTGCATCCATATAGGCCAGTTAGGCAATTGCCTAGGGCGCAGGCCTGCCGAGAGCGCTGGCCTGCCAATGAACCCCCCCCCCCAACTGAACCAACAACACCTGTGTTTGTGGGTGAATCGGCCCTTAGCTGCAGAATAGGTTTAGATTCCCCTCCACTCTTGCTCATTATGGGATGTTATGTGCCTAGCGACAGAGAGAGAGATACATCATTTCTCCGGTCTGTGATTGGGTGAAAGGCCCAGGCCCACTCAGAGACCCCTTTCTATAAAGATAGTTGCATTCACTTAGGATGGGGGTGCGTGGAGACTACGGACATGGCTTTGCCAATAATCGAAGAAGCAACCCAGCAATGGCATTCCATCTTGAACTCTGCCTGGATGGGCTGAATTGTGAGAACTTCGTGATTTGCTGAACCAACCGACTGCCTCTGCAACCTGGAACAGGTAACTGTGTTTTATGTTTAGCTATGCTGGAAAAGCTTAGAGTTATTTGTTTTATTTCTCCACATTCAAGTCTCGTCTTTTAAATATTCCTGCACCTTAATAAACAAATATATTTTTACTTCTGCATTCAATTAACCTCAATGTCTTAATCCAATTGCCTTGATTCTTGACCACTAACAAAAGTAATTGCTTTGTCTTTTGAAACTCAGCCCGCAGTCCTACTCTGCAGGGCTGACCTTTCTTGTGTAATTCCCAGAGAATCTGGGAGACTTGGTCTTTTGCTCCTGGGCTGTGGGGATAAAAGACCTGGCGGCAACCTACCAAGGCTTGGGTGAGTTTTAGACTCTCTCAGGTATTTTGTACTTGGAGCTGCGGTGACTCAAGTGGTTAAGACGCTGAACTGCAGGCTGTGGAAGGTCGGTAGGTCAGCAGCTCGAGACCCGAGTGTGCCACATGACGGAGTGAGCTCCCGTCTCTAGTTCCAGCTCCTGCCAACCTAGCAGTTCCAAAGCAAGAAACTGCAAGTAGATAAATAGGTACCACTTCGGTGGGAAGGGAACAGCGTTCGGTGCGCCTTGGTGTTTAGTCATGCCGGCCACATGACCACGGAAACATCTTCGGACAGCGCTGGCTCTTCGGCTTTGAAACGGAGATGAGCACTGCAACCCTAGTTGGATTCTACTGGCTTCCGAGCAAGGGAAACCTTTACCTTTTACAAGTATTTTGTAACTTTGCTTTGCAACACACTCCTTGAACCAAGAGATCCTGGCCCGGAGGGTTTGGCACTTTTGACAGGGGCTGTTGACGTGAGTGGAGCGGAGTGAGGTGTTGTGGCAACCGGACGCCCGCGAGGGACAGCAGACCCAGAGCCAGCCCTGAACGTGGGTTAGTTGACAGAAACACCCCCCCACAAACACCCCCCCCCCTTGCACGAGGCATTTTGTGGACAAATTCTTGGGTGTTGTTCGCTCGGCATAGTAATTCAAAGGGTGTAGCGCAGTGTGCAAAAGACACAGTTATGTGGACGTTGTGGTTGTGGGAACAGGCAGTGTGCACATGTACACACAGAACTTATTTCAAGGGCTACGATAATGGGGAGGGGGGGTCACTGTGGCCTGCCCTCCCTCCCAGGCCTTGCGGACAGCCTTCCCATCCTGTTTGCCCCACTTACCCCATGTCCCTTTTCCCCTGACAGGCCCGGGAGTCCATCGAAGCCACGGTCACCCTGCAGAGAGAAAACCAAGGGGCAGGCCCTCTTTGTTTATTGATTCCCTTATTTAAAATATTTATTAGCCACCTTTCTACCCCGAGGCACTTGAGACAGCTTCCAATAAAGCCCCGGGCCTTGGATCCAGAGACCCCGCCCAGGAAGGGGAAAGTGCCCCTCCCCCGTGACACTTTGCCCTCGACTTCTTTGTTTGGGAGCTCCCCCCCAGAGCCTTCGCGAAGCAGAGAGCGGAAGGGGACTTGGGGCTCTCCAGTTAGGGGATGCTGCCTCACCTCAACGCCAGAATCCCCAGGCAGGCCCCGGGCCCCGTCTGCTCCGTCTCGACCCTGGGGATCACAAAGAGAGAAGGGATGAGAGGACGCCCGTCCCCTCGACCTCAGGCCTGCTCTCCGCACACAACCCTCAGTACCACCAAAGAACCTACCTTGTGGCCTGGTTTCCCTGGGGGGGCCAATCAGCCCCCGCGGGCCCCTGCGGGCCCTAGAAATGGAGAGGGAGGCAGACAACAGAGACTTATTCTGGGGCCTCCGCCCAGGTTCCCCACCACTGAAGTGATGGCACAGGAAAAGAGGAGGGGGTGTCGCAGGGTGAGGACTCGTGAGGAGAGCAGCGTAGGCCAGAGCACAGGACTGAAGGCCTCGCGGCTGTCCAAGGGAGAGGTGCCGGGGCTCTGGGGCCGTGCCCCTCAATCTCAGTCACAGCTGGAGGCTGCAGCGGGCTCCGGAGGGAGTGGTGGAGCAGGAGGGGGCAGGTTCTGGGCTGGGGAGACGTGCCAAAGGCCACGGTGCAGGGCCAGGGTGGGGAATTCGTCACAGCGGCCAAGGATCCTCTTACCTGGGGCCCAAAGTCTCCAGCCTCAGCCTTTAAGCCGGGGTTGTCGGGTTGCCCCTGGAAGGGAAACGCACAGCGGTTACCTCTGTGGCCCTCCCCAAGCCGCGAGCGCCAGTTTGGTGTAGTGGTTCAGAGTGGCAGACCCCTCACCATCTTGGTTGACCTCCTTTGGAGACGGTTCCAGCTTGTCTGCATCCTTCTTTAATTGTGGGGCCCAAAACTGAACCCAGAACTCTAGGCGAGGTCTAACCAGAGCAGAGCAAAGCGATACCGTCACATTGCGAGATCTGGACACTGTACTTCTGCTCACGCAGCCCAAAAGCACATTTGCCTTTTTAACTACCGCATCACATTGATGACTCTTGCTCAGTGCATGGTTCTACTAAGACCCCTCGATCCTTTTCACACACACTGCTGCCGAGACAAGTCTCCCTCATTCATCTTCTCCTTCTCTTTTCATGAGTCTGAGGTAATTTTCCTCAAGACTAGATTGTCCAAGAGATCCTGAAGGTCTTTGGCCTTCCTCTGGGAAGAGAGCAAGGACCACTGGGGAGTGGGCGGGGGGGAGGTGTTGATTTCCTGTGCTGTGCAGGGGGTTGGACTAGATGACCCTTGAGGTCGCCTTCCAGCCCTACGTTTCTGTTCCTAATATACAGATCGTATTTATGCTTTTTTATTTTGTTTGCAATTTCTGTCGCTTAAAAAAAAAACTATACAAAGACCCTAAAAATCCTAAGAAAACTATTCTGCATCGCAGCCGCGTCAACAAAAGGATACTGCCAGCACACGTTCTGGGCAAGGGACAGATCCAGAGTCTAGGAGCACCCTCAAGACTAACAAAATCTAAGCTGGCTAAGCAGAATGAAAATTGCTCAGATAAATGTTGGAAATGCAAAAATAAGACAGGTACATTTTATCATAGGTGTTGGCTTTGTGAGGTAACAAAGAGATACTGGAGATGGGTCCACAAGATGACGCAAGAGATATTGAGAAGTAAAATACCATTTTTGCCGGAAATATTATTACTAAACATATTTCCAAAGGAGTTTGAGAAAGGTGATAGATATTTGACAGTACACCTATCTACGGCGGCAAGAATATTATATGCAAAATATTGGAAACAAATGGAAACACCAAAGAAGCAAGAATATGTGAATAAACTGTTAGAGATGGCTGAAAATGATAAACTGTCATCGTTGATGAGAGGGACAACAGACCCAACATTTCAAAAGACGTGGAAAAAACTGTATGATTGGTACAATATAAATGCATAGTTTAAAGTAATGAAAATTTTGGTATTATTAATCTTTTTTAGTTAAATAGAAACTATGGTAAAAAGATAAAGTATAGAGAAACTTAAGCATTAAGACGCTGAACTGCAGGCTGTGGAAGGTCGGTAGTTCAGCAGTTTGAGACCTGAGTTGCCGCATGACGGAGTGAGCTCCCGTCTCTAGTTCCAGCTCCTGCCAACCTAGCAGTTCGAAAGCAAGAAATTGCAAGTAGATAAATAGGTACCACTTCGGTGGGAAGGTAACAGCGTTCCGTGCGCCTTGGTGTTTAGTCATGCCGGACACATGACCATGGAAACGTCTTCAGACAGCGCTGGCTCTTCGGCTTGGAAATGGAGATGAGCACCGCAACCCTAGAGTCGGACTCGACTGGCTTTCGAGCAAGGGAACCTTTACCTTTTTACCTAATGGGTAGTTAAAAAAAAAAAAAAGACTAACAACATTTGTGGCAGGGGATGAGGTTTCATGAGAAATGAGCAAGAGTCCAGGAGCATCTTAAAGGCTAACCCAATTGGTGGCGGGGTAGAAGCCTTTGTGAGTCACATCTCACTTCTCCAGATACCTCCAGAATGAGGCTAGCCGTGACTCACGCCCGCTCCTCCCCTGCCACCGACATTGTTCGCCTTGAAGGGGCTCCTGGACTCCGGCTCACTTCTCTTGCTGCAGACAGACTGGTATGGCGACCCGTCTTGACTCAGGCAAGGTTTCCTCATCTAGACCCAGGGCACTTCCTGGGCACAAGAGAGATGTAGGAAGGGGCAGCGGTGGGGAGGGGCAATCTGTCCCTGGCACAGAGAGAGAGAGAGAGAGAGCTGGAAAGCCCCACTTTCCAGCCCCACTTTGGGGACTCTCAGTGGTGATCCTCTGTTAGGGAATCAAAGCCGCTGGCTTGGTGGGGGAGGCAGAATGAGTGGGGGTGTCAGCTATGCCGCCATGGGGGTGGGGGAGCTCGGCCTGTGCCTGTTTAATTACTATTACATTCCTTTCTCTGCTGCTCACCCTTTTCGCTGGAAGGCTTATCTTTACAGATGTGCAGAAGGAGGTTGTATTGCCCAGAGGTCTCCTATCTTCCGTGAGAGACTTCTCTTTCTCAGCTTTTGCCACCTAACTGTTTCCTAGCTTAGCCCGCGCACGGGAGGTCACCCAATTGGCCAATGCCTGGGGGGAATGCACACGAATGCCCTACATCCTAGGCTGCTATAGTGGTTGCCGCCATTCTTAACAGTGATTATGTTACTGCATCTATAGCTCTTCAATAAAAGTATAACCATTCCTGAATGCGTGTACTTCGTTGTTGGCTGTGGGTTCTGACGGGGGGGGGGGGTATGACGGACCCCTTCTCCTTCTGTTCTGTGGGGCCGATTTTCCCGCCAAAACACTGTTCCCCACTCTGGGTGAGAAGCCTCTTAGGAGCGTGTTTGAATTATAAACTTATAACTGCCTTGGTGTCCCACTGAGTGTTAAAGAAGTTATCTGGCTTTCGCCCAGTCCAGAGTATTTTGTAATATCAGCAGGGGTATATAACCCTTATATAACCCTTTGGAAATGGTACTTGACACGAAGTAAAGCTGAAACAAAAAGGTCGGTTTTATTGAACAGGCAACAGAGTATAATTGAAGTATGACACAGAGAGTCCTCCCTCTTTCTGTTTTATACCTCTGGGGATGCCAATCCTAGTGGTGAAACGTTAGGACCTACAATGCCAAGACCACGGCCACACAGCCCGGAAAATCTACAACCGCTAATGAAGCTTAAATTCTAAGAGACTCCGTTCTGTACTGTGAGAGATTAGTTTATCTTGTAGATTTCTTTCAGCAGCAACATGTCTTGATTAAAGTTTCGTAAAAAATACCTTAGTGAGAACTTTCTTCCTGTATATCCATATTTCCCTTTTGGGAATATAACTTTCCCTTTTTCTGTACTCCTGAGGAGTCTAAGGTCGTTTCCCTTTTCACTTCTCAAATCAGAGCTGAACCCTTTTAATAAACAGGTAAGGAACATCCTCCGCTTTCCTAGGAGCGATAACCCCTTTCCTGTTCGGCTAGGCGGGCACTTTCCCACCAACTGTCCAGCCTCTTCCGGCAGACCTAAACCCCCAGTTCTGGAGACCGTGAACAAAGGGAATTCGGCTATAGTGCTAACACTTGGACGCAAAGTTCTGATTTCCGAACTTTTCCCCAAATGTGTTGGTGTACAGGAAAGGCTAGGAGTTGTGTCCTTTCGCTTCTCAACTGATCTGTTTCCTTCAGACTGACACACACACAAACACACACTCCTCCTGACTGTCAACTGCCAAGTCCAAATCCAAAGGACGACTGACGGACAAGACTCACCAGATTTTATAAAACTCAAAACTGCTTTACAGGGAGGCATTAACCCCTCATCTCCCAGCTCTCTGAGTCTGACGCCCTAAGCATCCTGCTTTTTGGAGGTCAGTTCGTCACAGGGGGCTTCAGCCCCCACAGCTTCCCCTCCCCCCTCCCCTCCCCCGCCCGACTCACCTGGGAAGCCTGCTGTGGGTGGGCCTGAGGTTGGGCTTCCTGGGCGGACACCCCCTCCGGCCCCTCGTCCTCTTCGCCGCTCTCAAAGCCGAACTGGGGAGAGAAGGAGGAAGCGTCATTAGGTCCCCTGGAGACAAACCCCTTTCGGGTCATGTCCCCCCCCCGGGGGGGGGTCTTTGCAGTGAGGCCCACACAAGCAGAGGGGCTAAGGGTGCCAACCCCCAGGTAGCATCTGGAGAGCTCCCTCCACTACAATCGACCTCCAGGTGACCAGGATCCGTTCCCCTTGAGAAAAGGGCTGCTTTGCAAGGTGGACTCTGGCTGGGAGACGTCCAGAGCCATGATGTGCCCCATGCTGAGTGAGACTCCTGGCGTTCAAGGGACACCCTCCGCAGCTGCCTTCCCCCCTCAGTCAGGCCCTTCCTGTACCTCAAGACTGTCCCCTCTGAGTGGGGAGGCACCTCCAGGGACTTTTTTTTTAATGGTGTATTTATTGGTTTTTCACTTAGTCGTTGTTTACATACATTTCTCCTTACATCTTTGAGTCTACACATTCCACACTTTATCAATCCAAATATACAATTTTCCCCATCTTCCCGAAAATACATTTTCATCTTTCCCATCAGGCTTAAGAACATAAGAACATAAGAGATGCCGGTGTTGGATCAGGCCAAAGGCCCATCCAGTCCAACACTCTGTCACACAGTGGCCAGAAATACCAGTGCCATCAGGAGGTCCACCAGCGGGACCTCCCACTTCTAAGAGTTTATAAATAATTTCTTCTTTTGTGAGGAATTTGTTTTGCTTCCAGTATCTGGCCAACATTATCCTTGCGGTTGTCAAAATATATACTAACATAAATTTAACATTGTGTTTATAACGCTCCAGTACCATATTCAATAATGCTATCTCTGGGGTTAGTACTATTTTTATATTCATAATATCCCAAAATAATTTTTGTATCATCTTCCAGTATTTTTGCGTTTTCCCACAGCGCCACCACATATGAAAAAATGTCCCCACATTCCTTCTACACTTCCAACACATTTTGGACATTGACATTTGTCATTTACTTATCCTGTCTGGAGACCAATACCACCTGTGGAAGACTTTATAAATGTTCTCTTTGTAGTTAGTTGCTCTCATATATTTCAACGTCTTCCACGTAATTGGCCATTGATCTATTGTATGCCCTTTTAACTGGAGCTGCTGCATTGGGCTGAGTTTGGGATCTCCTGTAGGCAAAACTTCCTGACACCTCTAGGTGAGACTGTCACACTGAAAAGCAACTGCTGAGATCCTCTTCGGAAGCCCTGGCCTTGGTGTCCCACCTGTGGAGTTGAGGCAGGTAGGGACCAGAGACATGGCCTCCTCCGTGGTGGCTCCTTGCCTTTGGAACACCGTCCCCCCAGGAGGCTCATGTGGCCCCTACCTTCCTTGCCTTCCGGCACTAGCCTTTCTGAGGTATTTCTCGCTAGCCACCAAGAGGCCTTTTAACTAAGGGTTTTTCTCATCTCTTAGCAGTTTTAATGTTCTGCTTCTGGCCTCCGGACTTCCTTACATCTTCATCTTTGTGCTGCTCCATGCACGTGTGAAGCTGTTCTTAGGCCCTGGCTCGTTTCACTGGTTTCATTCTGTAACGTGTCGTGTTTCAAAAATTTTATGTTATTGTTTTTTTAATTGTAAGCTGGCTCACGTGAATTATTCGTCCACCGAAATGTCCTCCAACAAATTCCAAAAAGAACTGGGAGTGATTCCTACCAATATAACTGCTAAAAAGTTTTGAAAGTTGACTTCATTAAAATATAATAATAATTCGCAACCAAGAATGTTGTGGCACCATTGGGGTGTGTGTGTGTGTCAAGTCTCAGCTGACTTATGGAGGCCCCTCATGAAGTGAGAGATGTTGCCACGGCCTGCCTCTGAGTAGCAACTCTGGCCTCCCCGGGTGGTCTCCCACCCAAACACTGACCTGGGCCGACCCTGCTTAGCTTCCGAGATCTGACGGGATCGGGCTACCTTGTAAAGGCCAATGAAGTCACAGTGGCCAAAGCTCTCTAGAACACAGCCCCGCTCCTCTGGCATGGAAAGGTGTGGGTCATGAGGGAGGCACACGGGTGCAGGCAGCAGAGAATAAATTACACCCCAGATAGCACAAGATTGCCAGAGGAAGTGGTAGACTACACTAGGAAAATGAAAAAAAGGGTCCGGTTAGCAGGAGAGTCGGACGGTCACAGGTCTCCGCCAGTCTTTCCAAGACAGCTTGTGCTGGACCTGGTGTGGATTGGGGCCACGGAGAGAGGGCAGCCGCCGGTTCACCTCCCCACTTTTCAGAGGGCTGCCGAGTTTTCACTGTGCGGGGAGGAAGGGTGAAGTCCCTCTCCCCTCCCTTCCTGTACGTCCGGGGAGGCACAGGGACGTTCCCTATGGTCATTACGGTTCATTATGGTCACATGTTAGACAAGGGCCAGTCATGGTCACTCTGTGAACGTGCGTTTTGTCTCAGTTGTCCATTTCTGGCAGACCAAACACATGTGGGTGGAATTCCCAGGCAACGACAGGCTCAATTCAGACGGGGACTGTGGCATGTGAGGAGAAAGGGAATCAGCCCCCCACCCCACACCACCCAGGGGCCGTTTTCCAGACCCGAAGCTCTGCGGAGCCGCTGTTTGCGCCGCTGGGGAAATCTGCATGTATAGAGGAGGGATGCACTGAAGTTCCCGCAGTGGCACAAGCAGCAGCAGCGACTCCTGGCGTTCAAGAGACACCCTCCTCAGCCGCCTCCCCACCCCCTAGTCAGGCCCTTCCCATACCTCATGAAAGTCCCCTCTGACTGGAGAGGCACCTCCAGGAACTTTTAACCGGAGCTGCTGCATTGCGCTGAGCCCGGGATCTCCCGTGGGCTAAACGTCCTGACACCACTAGGTGAGACTGTCATGCTGAAAAGCAACTGCTGAAACCCTCTTTGGAAACCCTGGCCTTGGTGTCCCACCTGCGGAGGTGAGGCAGGTAGGGACCAGAGACATACACGGCCTCCTCCAAGGTGGCTCCTTGCCTTTGGAACACCCTCCCCCAGGAGACTCACGTGGCCCCTACCTTCCTTGCCTTCCGGCACTAGCCTTCCTGAAGTATTTCTCTCTACCCAACAAGAGGCCTTTAACTAAGGTATTTCCCCCCCTCTCTTAGCAGTTTTAATGGTCTGCTTCTGGCCTCCGGACTTTCTTACACCTTCATCTTTGTGCTGCTCCACACCTGTGTGAAGCTGTGTGGCCTCCGAATCCCCATCTCCTCTTGCGCCAGTCACAACCTGAATTGGGCCCAGGCGTGCCTGGGAAGTGAGTTCCCAGAAAACAGCTCCACCCAAAGTCCTTGTGGAAGGGAGGGTGCCAAGCCTCTGAAGAAGGCCTCGTCCTCCGTGCCCCTGTCGTTGGCCCTCCAGAGTAACTGGTTGGCCGCTGTGTGAGACCGGAGGCTGGACTTGATGGACCCTCACTGGCCTGACCCAGCAGGGCTCTCCTTCCCCACACTCACGGCACTGGCTTACCTTCTCTGCCAGACGGGCTACTTGGTGCGGGGATAGGGGGGCATTCCGACCGGAGCATTTGACACAGTCCAAGGGACATCGATGGGGCTTCTCTCCTGCATGGCTTTTCTCATGTCTGTGGAAGTCAGAAAGACAATGATACGTTCTCCAACACTCTGTGCACTTATATATTTGGTCTGCTATATGACTCCGCTCGTGCACCAGGAAGGCCGAAGTCTCTTGAAACGTTTGCCCGCAGTAAGAACAAATGTATGGTTTCCCCACCATTTGCAAGTTCTCAACTTAAGTCAGGGCTCTGACGGAAGCTGTTTCCACAGTCTTGGTCCCTCCGTGTCCTTTTACGCCTCAAGAATCTCTCACCCGACTCTAAAGTTCCAGCATTTGCCTCCAGAACCAAGGCTAGTTCAGGGTTTTCCTTCTACATTCAAATGACTTCGTGTTCCCAGGTGAATTTCAGGGCCCCCAAAACAAATCCCTTTAGATCCTTCTCGTGGTCGATCGCCAAAGGCCACTCGCTCAGCTCCCTTCTGCAAACGATCCTCCTCCTAGTCCAGCACTCCGATACTCGATCCTGGAAGAAAATTAAGGCATCATGAGCAACACCCCCCACAGCAGTGATGACCCCTCATCTCTCCCAATTCAGTACTGAGCCAGGGTGCGCTGCGGTGGCTGAGAGTGTCGGACCTTCACCAGGGAGGAGAGAAGCGCATCTCTATGCAAAGATATTCCCACCTTAAGCCCGGGGATTTCTATTTATGTAGACTGGAATATCACTTCACAGGACGGCCCTGTGAGGCAGAATTCAGATGTCACAATAAACCAGGACTTGTTTATGCCACAACTGATGCGACACACTCCAGTTAGCCTCCCAGATGGAAGTAACGAGATCCCCATTGGCTCATAAACCCGGGTTTCTCTGCTTCCTGCCACTTCTCCCATCTACCCCCAGGATGCCACCTCTATGGCTGGTGTGACTTGAAAAATAGGAATCCGAGAATTCAGGTGTCACATCAGGCCACAGTAAGGAGAAGCCACGATTGACAAACCAGCTACAAGCCTAGATGGAAATCCTGTTTTGGCACATACCAACAAACTGCCATTTGTTGAGTCGTCGGCATTCAGCTGTTAGGGAAATGCCATGGCTCAGCCCTAGAGCATCAGCTTTGCATGCCGAAGGTCCCAAGTTCAATCCCCGGAATCTAGCAGGTGATGAGAAAGACCTCCATCCCAGACCCTGGAGAGCCACCACCAGTCTGAGCAGACAAGACTGACGGTGAGAGACCAACAGTTTGATCCAGGATACGGCAGTAGAGGGAAGGCCTCTTTCATTGCTGAGAGACTACATTAGACCCAGGGTTCCCTGGAAACACCCCAGCAACTTGCTGCCACAGCTCAGGGATCCTCTGAAAACATCTAGACCGACCTTCTGAGAAAGTATCCATCAAGTGCAGTACTAGACAACTAAGTAACTGGGAAGAAACCCTGCAAAATGGAGCTCCCTTGTGTTCTAGAGGAAAGGTGAAGACAGGGAAACAGAAGGCACTGGCTACATAAGAACATAAGAGGAGCCATGTTGGATCAGGCCAGGGGCCCCTCAAGTCCAACACTCTGTGGCACACAGTGGCCAAAACTCAGGTGAGTTTTGTTCTCCCTGAACCTCCTTTCCAAAGCAGGGTTGTTTTGGCATCCTGAGAGCTCAGGACACCCTCAGGGGCCCACACACGAGTGGACTCCGCTCCGTTGCTGGTGGGTAAACTGGACGCGTCCTTCCATTCACTTCTGGTAATTGTTACCACAAGCGCTACTTGCATACTGCAGCGATTTTTGTGTATCTTAAAACATTTCCAGGCTGCTTCTACCCACCCACAAGGCCCAAAGCAAATTTCTATGCCGTACGAAAGGCCCAGACCTGGACAACCCAGGCTAGCCCTGTCTCATCCGATGTCGGAGGCGAAGCAGGGTCGGCCCCAGTCAGTATTCGGATGAGGAAGTCCTGGGTTGTTATTATGCAAAGGCCGGCAATGGAAAACCACCTCTGTGAGTCTACCGCCTTGAGAACCCTGCAGGGTCACCCTTAAGTCAGCTGAGACTAGATGGCAAAAAAAAGAGAAAGAGATGGAACTCAAAATAGCTCTATCAGCCCGGCTCATAGTCCGTCCCATTTCAGCTCTGTGATACCCTTTTTGGTGACAGGACAGAGTTATAATTCAGGGAAAGTTCTGGCACAGCAGAACAAAACACTGTTGTTTTAAATGGTCAGTTGAACTGCTTCGGTCCTACCAACTGCTGCAATCCAACCCCAGCTGATCCATCTTGGCTCTAAGCACCCCTTCCTGGCAACTTACCCCCCCCCCTCCAGTTCCACCTACCGTGTTTCCCTAAAAAAAAGACCTACCCCCAAAATAAGCCCTAGCAGGATTTCTATGCATTTGTGGTATAAGCCCTAGTGTGTCTTCTTGAGAAAAAATAAATATAATACAGTGTCTTCTTTTCGGAGAAACACGGTATATGTAATGGCTGAGGAAGTTCTGTTTCACTGTACCTGAAGAAGTGTGCACGCACGGGAAAACTCATACCCAGAGTTAAACTTCCTTGGCCTTGAAGGCGTCACTGGACTCATCCCCCCCCCCCATAAAAAAGTAGTGTTTGGCCACAATTTCCTCCTCTGATGAGTGTTTTCAGCAGTTCAGTATAGAGGAAAATGCAGACAAGCACCACTTTTCGGGGTTAACCTGCAAAGACTCCACAATTCCTGGGGGGCTGTGTGTGGCATGGGGCTGAACCTGGTCCAGCCCCCTACTTAGACATCTATATTAAATTGTTTAGCTCTGAAATTATTTATCTCTCCAAAAGCCATCAGCAACGGATCGTGTGGTTTTAAAGATGCAATCCCCCCCACACACACACTCACAGTAGTGTGGTTCTCCGTCAAAGAAAGGAAAGAAGTCAGACATAAATCAATAGGTGTGACGAGCTCCTGCACTGAGACAATCTGCAGGGATACTTCCAAGTATTTCACCTTGACACAGAGAGTGCTCCTT